GCAAAGCACGTGCAAACACTAGTATAATAAAAAGGTTACGTTAGAGATGGAAACCCATTTACCCACTTTCCTACCCGTGGAGCTCTTTTATGACCATTTATTGAATCTCATAATTGATAAACTTTGAATATGTGATTGACAAATTTCAATAAAGCACAAATTTTCAATATTATTTATGGTCACATGGTGCATGACTATAAAATTAAATTACTCAGTTTTTATAGATTGCTAAACATTTTTTATCTTACAAATTATTTAGTAAAATTGAAGTGAGTTTTTAAGTGATATAACAAATTAAAAACTTTTAAATTTTATATTAAAAAACATACATTTATTTTGAATTGATGGTGTAAAAATTTAATTAAATACTGTTGTTAAAATAAAATTTAAATTTTTATAAATGGGGTCTAACCGGGTTTTAAAACATTGATATATCCACACAAATTTTTTATATTCATCCCATTTTAAATTCATCCTTAATACAATTTCAAAATATATCAATAATTACATATAACATCAACTTTTCACAATTCAATAATTAATTCTATATAGACCGAAAATTATGAGATGGGATTCTATGAACCATAAACCCCTATAATCATCGCCACCCTCTATGTGACATGGACTATATTATTTTATTGAAATTGAACAAAATAATATGAAATGACTCGTAGTATTTATTCCATTAGGATCTCTTTTATGGCAAATCGAAACAAATAATATGGATTTTTCCTAGTTAGGTGTCTTTTATGACAAGTTGGAATCCCCAATTCAAACCTCTTCGAAACGAGCCTAAGAGGAGAAATTCAATACAAAAACTATTCAGGATACATATGAACTACTTTGAATCTAAACAAAATGCTCTTGAATTCAAGAATAGACTTCATGTAGCATGTGAATTGCATAACATGAAAATGAATAATCATAGAACCATTCAAGAATCATGAAACACAAAATTCACATTCAGCCCCTGTTTGAAGCACATTACAATTTTCATTCTCATTTTTCTACTCATTTTCAACCACACATTCTTCAATAAAATAATATTTTTCATCACATCAATAACTTTTCCTACTTTTTCAATCACACATTATTCATCAATCTACTACTCCATAATACATTCTTCCAAAATAATGTGACTTAAACACACATTCTGTTTAAGAATTGATTTTATTAACTCTTCATACTTCAAGTATCATCATGGGGCCTTTTGCAGTGAAACGAGACAAGAAGGATGTGAAAAGTCAGATATATAGAACAAGTCCATAAGAATTAGTATCAAAATTTCATCTTACATTTTTCTTTCTATTGATGTAAACCAAGAAATATATTAATTTTATTATAATATAAGTGTCACAATCTAGAAGAATAATATTGTTCATAAAATTCTGCAATATAGTAACATAAATGGGTAATTTCATTTGCGACACTAA